CAGTTTAACCTTATGCCCAGCAGCCCAGGAACAATATCCAGCCAGGGGACAGAGCTGGACCTCTACTACTTTGGGCAGACATGGAAAAGAAAATATCTAATTTTTTCCAGTCCAGGGACTCTGTGGCTTTGCTGGCCACCCAGGGAACTTGACGATAAATAGCCTAGTCCAGATGTGACAACTCTCCCCTATGCAGAGCTGGCATCAGAAATGGAGTGGTAATTTGTTCTACGCCAGTTTCCTACTAGGAAAGAGACCTCGTCTATGAACACCATGCATCCGTGCAGTAGCAACCAAGAATTTACCCTCTGCAGGAAATATTAGTGATGGAAATAATAGTTCCAGCTTTACTGAAAGTGAAAATGGGAGCGTGACAGATGGCTTTGATGCCTCCGTTTCAAGGCCTCTTAAAGAAGACTGCTTTAGAGGTTGGAGAAGGCAGCGTACCATGAAAATTGGAACACCGTGGCCTGCACTAAATTTGTGGCTAATGCAGATTTTCGGAAATGGCTTGGTTTGGGGCTAAAAAGGTCGAAGTAGCAAAAGAAATTGGCAGTGGAGGGAAAAAAAAAAGCTCCTCCAAAGCTCTACCCTGTGTGCCTTTTGCTTTCTGAACAGGCAATTTCACTTGCCAGAACTATTGATCTAGGGTACTTGTTAGCAGCATCAAGCCATATATAGCATTTTTTAGAGGAAAATCATTAGACTGTGACTGATTGGGAAAGTTACCCTCAGCTTAGTTTTAGCTGAGCTCAGTTCCTGCAAGCATACAAACATGGACCAGTGATTAACGATTGGTTAAGAATCTCCTTGGATCTCAGTATTACCCTTAAATCATCACACAGCAGGTGATGCTGCAGGGAGTCTGTGATTAAAAAAGAAACCCACATACAATGAAGAAATGCTAGGTGATGAGCTGTCAGCCTCACTACCTATCAGCCTCCGGTACATGCTGTTCTTTGAAAAGCATGTTACTGCTTGAAGTCAAGGCTGAATTTTGATACTCCTTTCTCAGGCTGATTCCCACTGCAGGGCAGGTAATGCCGCTTGTGATGCCTCTCATGGCATGGTTGGGTGGTAAGTCTTCTCCCTTTGCTATTAGCTGTTGCTTGTACCTATTTTACAACAAGCACAGACTTCACCCCTCTTGAGGGTATTTCATGAAAGTCATTCCTGGTGCTCTCTTTCCTGGTTTGTTTGCTGTAGGATTTTTTTAGAAACACAAACCTCGTGCTTGTGGCGTGCTGGTGAATTTGGCTTACCCTTCTCCGTGCTTCAGATTCCTGATCTGCAAAGCCAGTGGTAGCTTCCTTCTCTCTATAAAGTACATTGAGATTAAGCAAAGCAAGATGATCCAAAGGAGCTAACAATTGGAAACAAAAGCATTTTTCTTTTCTAGTTAATAAATAATGCTAGTATGTCTTGTCTCCCTCCAGTTTGTGCTTCAAAAAGTTGAAGTTATTTATTTGATTTCTCATTTTCTTGGTGTTGTCTCTTTGTGGGCTTTGAATGGTCTGCAGGAATGACTTCTTTGGCTTTTTATTATCCTACTCACATAGATCTGTATCTACATGAGTTCTATACCTTGCTATAGAATTACTACTTTGTGTATCTCCGGTAAATTTACAAGTTCTGGCCCCTGTCTTTGCTGTAGTACCGCTGAGGGAAGATAACCACTGTAGAGCAAGTCCATGACTGTTGGGTTGTCTCACTTCCACTGTCTAAAGAAATGCTTAGGTTCTGGTTGTCCCTCTTTTTCAAACTTCTGTAATGAAAACCTGGGTTTGATCCATGCTATCTGTGAGGGGGCAGCACCCAGGCACTTCCAAGCAAGTGACACTTCATGTCATCTCCATGAACACCTTGGCACCGCGTGCCAGGGAATGCTTCTGGCTATGGCAGCCTTCAGGCAGAAAGGGGATCAGTGCTGAAAAATAGCTGGAAAATGGTAAAAATAAACAGAATGTACCAGACAGCAGTAACTTGACAAAGAGCTAATTGTTGTTGCAGGGTGAAGCAGCTCTGCCCAACAGGGCAATCTGCTGAGCTGAGCTGGGTCCCTACACGTTGAGCCTCAACATCCCTCAGTTACCCAATGGATAAGCAGTGCTCTGCTGGAACTTCAGATGCTGTGAATGTTTTTGTGGGGTTATCTATCAGCACTGGATCTGGAAAGGGAAGCTGGCTGCTTGTTCAGTCACGTTTAAAAACAGAATAAAAATTTGAGGGGATGCAAACACTTATGTACGCATATGTATAAATATATTTTGTATGTTTTTCTGAAGGTTGAATGTTGAAGGTTTTCCTGAGGATGAATTTTGCATTATCTTATGGAATATGGAATGTTTACTGACTTCTCACTGGGTAGCCTGGCACACTGAACAAGTAAGGTTGCCCCACCCTTTTCTTCCCCAATGCCCTTTTTCATAAATCCACCTCTTTTCTATTAGGAAAAAGATTTTCAGTCCCTCCCACTCTGAATAAAACTTAGCACAGTGCACACAGTCTGCGCACACTGGAGTGTTCAAAATGGGATTTAATAGGCATGTGAGTAATGGAATAAACCTCCTTCCCCTGGCTTTACTCCAAAAGGCTGAAATCCTCCTTTCACTGCATTTCCTCTTTCATTCCCACCGTCCGCCCTATTCTAGGTGGAATTCTAATCCAGGCTATTCAAAGCATGCAGTGTGGTGAGAAGTTTCCACCCAGGAAAAAGAGCTCCCCACCTGTTGAACCTCGTCAACCCTCCCACTTAAGCAGGGGAGTCATGGCAGAACGATGTGAGGTGCTCCTCTTAACCTGACAGTGCTTAAACAGATGGGAACTCAGACATGGGAATTCGGGTTTTTGCTAGCGTGATGATCCCAGATACTGGCAAAACCTGCTAAAAATCTATTTCTGTGTTCATCCTTTCCCTCCTGATCCAGCAGTATGTCTGCAGCCATGTCTTGGAGCAAACGTGATGCTCTTCCAAAGCTTCTGCTGTTGCTGCCTTGCTCTAACCACAGGGATTGACAGCTATGCCACAGGTGTAATTGTGTAAGCAGGGCTTTCCTTCGTGAGCCTCAGATTCTCTCATAATTGCTCATATTCAGAAAAAGGCATAGGAAGTCAGTTTAGCACTTCACGTTGCAAATGAGTCATGCAAATTGCAGCAGTCGGAGGAAAAACAGGTAATCCCAGAGCAGAGTGTAAATTTGGTCATGTGGGCAAAACGGTTATTGACGAGCAGGAGTCACAGGAGGCTTATGCTGGAGGAGGAGGCAGCTCAGTGGCTTGGAGAGGGGGTAGGAAATTCTGATTAGTTGTTAGGCTTTGCTCCAGATGCTCTGTGGGAGGTGGAGCGATTAGCTGGGGCACAGGCCACAGAGTTGTTCTTATGTGGACCAAAGGCTAAGGCAATAAAGCTGTGAGGTGATACATAGTGTTCTGCTCTCTGAGTGCAAAATTAATTTGCAGTTAAAGGGGTTTTTTGCGCATCATTGGCATCTTCTCATAGCACTGGTTTTCACCAAAGACAGAACCTTAAAGATACTGTTGAAGAGAGAGAGGCTTAGGGTGCTGCTCCTCATCCTTGAAGCTGGCTGTCGGGCTGGCTCTGAACTGGCCTTTGACAGTACCTACCCAAAATGAATTACTTCTCTACTGCAAAAGATGTTCTTAAATTGAATGCTTTCACAAGCAACACTGTCTGCTGGTTTCCCTGGAAGTTAAACTGGAGACTTTCCAAATGAGACCCCAGTCCACCGAAAAGGCTTTGATAGAGCTCCATGGTGGTGTGTAAATCTCTCTGCACACAGTTCAGAGCAAGATCCAGACCTTCCTTTTACAATTCTGAATAAGAACTTCAACTTTGCTTCTGATGAGTCAGGTATTACATTGCTTAATTATGTTTTAGTCTGTGTGCTTTACTAGTAACTAAAAATACTCTGAAATTTGGAGGAGAAAATTTATATCCCTATTGGAGGAAGCACATGTGCATGTAGGGAATGTATACATTGGTTATGCATATGGGTGGAATATGCCTTTGAAAGTTGGTTCAGCTATTAAATACTCATACTGTAGTAAAAAGATCCACTTTTCATGATCCTTCTCTGCTGCCAACAAGAGACAGAAAGTTGTCAATTGGCTGGCATGGAGAGCCTGTCAGTGCTGAAGCTGAGGTGAAAAATTTGTGTACATCATGTGCTACACGTGGAGAAGCTGAATCTTTACATGGGAGAAGGAGCAAGGATCAAATGTAAAGAACTTATTGACTGTCATAAACCAGGTTGATGCTCAAGATTTTGGAACATTTGCGTGCTGGTGCATATGGGCATGTGGTGCATATGGTGTTCATCATGGCAATGGTTGTGCTGTGGCACAGAGATCACAAAGAATGGCTAAGGCTGCTCAGGGAAGTCATCTGTGGATCTGGTGAGGTTCTGAAATCTGCTCCTGTGGGCTATGCCCTCTCTGTAGAGTGCCATTGTCCATGCTTCTCTTTTTTTTTTTTTTTTTTTTCTTATGTCTTTCCATTTTGAATTGCATTACCTTGGGGAACTTTTAGATACAGAAAACAAAGCCCTGGCTGAGCATAATTCCTGCTATAATTTCTGCATAGTATCAGACCTCGACCTTTTCTGTACTTTTTAATCTTATTGTCACTGTCAGCTCATGTGCTTAAACAGCTCCATGCTGATGCCTGTCTCTAAAGCCTTCCTTAGTGACACCAAATGAAGAAAAGGGAGAAGCAGGGAGCAAGGTGGGAGGACACTTAATTTCACGAAGGGGCACCCTGATGCTTGTGTCAGAAGAAACCTCTTTGAAGTTGGGTGCTTTCATTCTGAGCATACCAAATCGACATCGCCTAGGGAGAAAAGCAATCGATAGACAAACAAGCTCGGGGTGTAAGAGGACGAGGGCGTCTCTGGGTGCTCCGAGGCATCAGGACTCTCTCTCAAAGACGTTTTTAATGTGACGCCGGGAGGGAGCCGGGTGCGGTAAGGCCAGGAGCGGAGATGTGGGGGGCGGGGGAGGGGGGGAGGGCGTGTCGCGACAGGGCGTGGCAGCGGGGGCACGGCGGCAGGCGCTGCGATTGGCTGGGGGGCGGCGAGGCGTGGCAGTGGGGCGTGGCCACCCGGGAGTTTCCCACAATGCCCCGCTGCAGTGCGGCCGCCGATGGATGCTGCGCGGTCGCGCTGCCATTTGCAGCCGCCGCGGCTCGCAGCGCACCCCGCGGCCCCGGGAGCTGCGGTCCCCCGGCCACCGCCGCCCCACAGCGCCTGCAGCCGCCGGCCGGGCCTCCCCTGCCCCCACCTCCTCCTCCTCCTTCTCGGCCCCACTGCCCCGACGCAATGAACCCCCCCGCTGCAGCCGGCGGAGAGGACACGGGGGCGGCGGGTGGCGGCGGCGGCTGCCGGGGGGCCGAGGGCGGCGGGGAGGCGGCGGGAGCCGCCGGGGTCCCGGAGGAGCCGGGGCTGTCCGCGGCAGAGGAGTCGCTGGAGGAGAAGCTGCGGAGCCTCACCTTCAGGAAGCAGGTGTCCTACAGGTGGGTGCCGGGCGGGCGGGCGCCTCTCGGGGGCACTTCTCGGGCTCCGCGCACCCGTGGGTGGGGAGGTGTAAGCGGGTCCGGCCGCGGTGCAGCCGGGCAGCGGCGTGAGGGCAGCACCCTGGAGCCGGAGGGGCTTTTTTTCCTCATCCCGAAACGTAAAAGAGCCCTCCCGGACCGGCGTTCCGCTAAGCCGGCAACCTGCGCAGAGCCCCGCGGCAGCCGTCAGGTTTGAGGTGCTCCTCCGGCGCAGCAGCGCCAGGGGAGACGGGGAACGTGTCAGTGTACGTGGGTAAACTTCAGAGTTACTCAGAGAAAGAGTCGGGGATCTCGCCCGGCTGCCAGGGGAATAGCTCTGTCTTCGTGCTTTGCCGTTTCCGATAATAAGACAATCGCCCGTGCTCCCGGCGCCTCCAAACGCTCGCTAAAGGGATCGGAAAAACCTTTCTGGTGGCACCGCTGCTCCCGAGAGGGGTTTCTCTGTGAGATGTCTCACGGGGTGCAGGTCCCCCCTTCCTGTCCGCTCCCCACCCGTGCCGGCAGCAGTTGCGTAAGCCCCGGTGGCTGACAAGACAAGGTGGGCTGCTATGCCCGGCTCCCCCACGCTTGGCTGGAGCTGAGGGCCGAGAGCGGCAGCCAGCGGGATGCCACGGGACATGCCAAAGCAGGGCATTACTTTCATAACCGGCGTCTTGGGTTTTGTATGGCTGTGCGTTTATCTCCTTTCTCTGATGTCAAATAAATGTGTTTCTCCCTTCTGTAAATAGAGCTGCGTGAAGGAGCTGTTAGTGAGGTTTGTCTGTTATTCTTCTACCAGCTAGGATCTGTTAATGGTCAGCATCTGCTAAAGCTGAATGCTGCCTGAGAAGCTTCATGCCAAAAAGTTTCCGAGTCTTACCTAATTCTAGCTGCAAAGCCCCCGTGGAGGCAGCACACCATCAGTAAGTGGTATTCTAGTGTGCTTAGGGACAAGCCCTCTGAGCTGGGAGGACAGCAAACACAGAGCTGCTACTTATTTTGCTTCTGTAAGAAGTGTGTCTCTAGCCCTAGGTAAATTAGCTGAAGAATCTCCCCTTACACGGGGATACTTAATGTGCTGTCAATTTGCATCTGAGAAAGCTCAGCTGATCTGAGTCTAAGCTCTACATGTGTAAGGGCTTAAAAATGATGTAATTAAACACTCCTCATAGCTGAAGTTTTGTATAATATTTCATGTGTGCAGAGAGACTTTCCCCATGAGGGCTGATGGCCCCATTGGTGAATGTGAAGTCTGGGATGATTCATACTGGACTCAATAAGGTGAACAATGTGAAAATGAAAAGTTGCTGGACACATATAAAACATTCCATCAGTCAGTCATCTCTTGTACTTTTGCGCCTCTACCCTGACAGTTTTCTTAGCACGCAACGTTTAGGGGCAAGTCTATTGCAGGTAAAGGCAGAGTCCGTAGGTGAGCTGTTGAAGTCAAGTAGCTGCCAAGGAGACAGATTTCCTAATGCATCTGCTCTTGGTATGGAGATCTTGGAGGTGCTTTATTCAGGCTTTTTTGTTTTCTTATTTCAGTATTTTGGTAACTTCTGCCTTTTTTTGGGGAGGAGGAGCAGGGTGGTACAGGGAGGAGGTACTAAAATCACTAAAATCTGTTTGTAATGCTCTGCTCTCTAGATTGTCTAGAAGTGTGTTAAAGACATGGGTATCCTGTAAGTTATCTGCATGGTCAGTATTTGTAAGCATTTCATAATAAATGCTTGTAGGAGGAAAGGTAGGGGTTGTTTTCTCTTCTTCCTCCCACCTCTCCTCTCCTCTGTCTACAAGTCCTGAACCTTCAGATATAAAAGCCTTTCCTTAAGCATCTCTTTATGCATATTACTTGTTCTGCTTGACTTGATATGTGCAAGAAAGTACATTTTCTTTGTGTCCTTGGATTTCCCCACCTTGTCTTCTTCTGGAGCTGTTTTCCTACTGATAATGTGCACTCTATCATTTATCCATAATGAGAACAATCTGATTAGATAAAAGAGTAGAAAACTTCCACAAAGGACCTCCACTGAGCTCTCCACACCCTGCACCCCCCAGGCTCTTTAAATTACTACCATTTCTCTCAGTAAATTATGGTGCTGAAATATGTTTGCAAATGTAAATGGCTATATTATATGCAGGAGAATCTATTTATGTTGTCACTTGGACTTCCTTATCTACTGGTAGAATAGAACTTAGTCAAGGCTTCCTACAGACTTTCAAACAGCTCATTTAGGATTCTCTATGCAGGTGCATTACACTGAAATACACCTATACAGCTGTATTTATACATGCAGGAAAAAAACCCACAAGAGTTGGAACTTGCTTAAAATAACAAAGGTGCATGAGCACGTAAAAAAAAAAATCTGTTGGTGGCAGCTGAAAGAATGAAATAGGTGACTGAAAAGGAGGTCAAGGTATTGTCACAAGGGAAAAAAAGGAAAAAAAAATATTTGCTGTACCAGTATTATAACGTTATGGTTTACCTGAGACTGGCTTAAAGTACTATCTTCCCTCTTCCCTTCCTCCGTCCCTCCCTCCCTTTTGTTTTGGTCTTGCTAAACAGCACATTCTTTCATTATAATGCAAATCTAATTAGCTACTGACATAGTTGTTGCATGCAAATAACTTGTTAGTTTCTCTAGAATTGTACCAAAACCATGCATAACATAGTTCAGAAATCCACGTTTAGTACTGATTTGGGCAGTATCTTCAAACGCAGAAACTGCTGGATTAAATATGTAAGGATTTTGTGTAGTAAATAGCAACGTAGGCATGTTTGTACCCCAGTCAAACTCTCAGGAGGAAAAACTTGCTTTAAACAACACCGGTGTGCCTCATGGGGAGCTTGAAAGCTCCCATGACTTTGCCATGTTCCCGGCCACTGCCACCTTGCACCTGACAATCTGCAAAGCCCGTTGTCCACACCAAAAGCTCCGTTCAAAGTAGATATCTGCCTGCTGCTTACTTTCTAGCAATGTGCTGTAATCACGTATCCACGGACAGTGGGGATGTGCCGCTCCTCTGTGCTTGTACGGGAGCTAATGGGTTTAAAGCGTGTCTGTGTGTTTGTGTGTGTGTGTGTGAGTGCGTGTGTGTGCTGCCAACACACGTCCCTTAAGTGGATCCTAATTTGCAGACGGGGCGCCTGCCCGGCCTGATGTAATGGGGAGGGGGGAGGCCCTGCCACGGGAGCTCAGCCCGTGGGAACCGCTGGTGCAGAGGGAGGGAAGGGGAAATCTGCAATCAGAAGCCTCGGTCCCTTGAAGAGGGGTATCTTGCAGAGCTGGTCGCTGTGTAGACTGAATGAAAGCCAGAGAAATGATCCCCCTTTTCAGCCTCATGCTGTTAAATGAGGCCAGCTGACTTGAGACTGGGATGCTCACATCAGAATGCCAACAGCTAAGCGGCAAGTTTAGGGCTATTTTATTTTTTTTCTTTTTTAACCCTGCAAATAGGGAATTAAGTATCTTAATGATGTTTTGGCTTCTCTGATGAAAATCTGAACTCTGGGCTCACAAAATGAAAAAAAATTTTTTTTCCCCATAAACTGATCAAATCAAAAATTCGGTTTTCCACCCAGCTGTGAAAAGCTTTGCAAATGAAAAAAAAAAAAAAGAAAGTGAATTAAATATGCATGTCTGCCAGAGAGAAATGCTTTCCACAGTTTGGTTCTTGAAATAGTATTAGCCTCCTACTTTTCTAGACCCGGCAGAATATTTGTAAGACATTGAAACACAAAGTTATTATGTAAACTTTTCTTTCCTTGTAATTTTTATTATTTTGTCACTGCAAACATCTGCGAGGAACATCATGATCTCCTTTAGGTAAATCAGAGATTAAAGTTGCTTCCCAAAGAAATGCTTTATATAAAGAGAAATTCAGATTATACCAAAGGGATGCTCAATAAGAATATTTCCACAATGAAAACTAAGGTAAGAGGAAATAAAGCTCTATCTTGCAATTTTCCTGCAGATACTTGCAGCTTAAAAAAACTCATCTGAAATGTAGTCTTGTCATTTAACCCTTTAAGCTAAGAGAAACAGTAAAAGTAAAAAAAAAAATCAAACAAAAAAGTCCCACAAACAAACAAAAACCCACCCTGAAAAACGGAAACAACCAACACAATCTAAAAGGCAAACTAACTGAAACCATCAATAAAGCAAATGGTTTTTAATTTCTTAATTAATTATTATTTAGAAATCCAAGGAATCTTGATTAGTGGCATTGGAAATAAAAATACAGTTGTAAGTTTTAATGGCCCTCTTGTGAGAGCTCAAGTGGTGTTTGGCAAACACTTGTCACTAGAGAACAGTTTTTCTAGAGAAATGTGTTTTGCTTTTGACCAAGTGGAGAAATCCTGACTGAGGCAGTGGGTGGCGGGCTTTAGAATTCTTGCTCCTACGTGACTCAGGAATTTCCAAAAGTGGGACCATGGTGATTCATTTCAGAGACCTGTGCTGCTAATGGGCTTGGCAGCTCAGTTATGGTGTTTTGTCTTTGGCCAAGGAGTCTTGCCTGAGCAAGAAACCATTCATTTCCCTTTTAGTACTGGGAATGGCTGGAGTTGCTGGTTTTCATAGCTCACTGTGTCCAGTTCCACTCAGAAATGTCACCATCTAAAATAGGTGGTTTGAACTTCCTTGGATGCTGTTTCTCTCTGATTTGCCAAGTGAATTTGTTTGGGATGTGCCTTGTGTGCTTTCCCGACCCTTCCTCTGCAAGCAGAAGCCAAGAATCAAGCCGGCCTTTCCTCCTGCAACATCAGCAATAACTGCTTGTCTGCCACGGCAAAAAGTAACAGGAGTTATAATTAGAGTTGGTTTCGTCACTGCGTTTGAAGGGGAAAAAGTTATAGCAGAGAAGTTCTGGGAAATCCTTGATTACACAAGCCTTGTCACTGTTGAAGTACCTGAGACTACAGATGGGGCTTTAGACCAAAATAGAAATGTAAGCAATATCCTCATTTTTTTTTGCTTCAT